CATATAACTTGAAATAGATGTAGAAACTCGAATTAGGTAGGTACTTATAATTATATTCCATAGTTTGTTGATGAGAAACGTTTCCGGATACTTTTATTTGTTACACAGAACACAAAAGATCGAAATGGAAAAGGAATGGAAAAGAATAGACGTTTGTTCGTGCTAGGAATCGCACGTTGAAAGGTAAAACCCCATTAATCGAAGGAAGACGACAGCTGGCTAACAGAAAAACATATTTTTTTGAACAAAAATATATTCAAAATAAATATATACGAGTGACTCGTTCATAATTGGGTACCATTTTCAAGAAGAAGAAAAACTTTTTTTCGTTTTGACACATTTTATTTGTTTGTTTGTAACTCTCAAGTTCGGGATCTGTATTTGACAGAATTATCGACGTTATTGCTTGATCTATTCGCGGGCAGATGGCGCTGTACGTAACCTACTTGATATAATTCGAACTCATTTTACATGTATTCCTTCATTTGATAAAAGCATTTTTTATTAACACGCGTCTGCTGCCTTATTTGTAACTCTCCTTTGCGCGCCTACTGCCTTGGGCTTGGAAGCTGATTTTCAGGCTTCCCCACCGGAATCGGAAAATATCATTGGTAATTTTTCAAAACAATATACCGGCTGATTGATCCCAAAGTTCAGATAAAATAAATGTAGTTTAAAAATACTAAAAAACACGATTTTGTAGCATATGTAACTGAATAATGAAAAATAAATATAGTTTGCAAAACTAAAAAACTTGCTTTTGAAGAACATCGAACTGAAAAGTTAAAAATATTTTTTTTAAATAAGCTTAAAACAATAACGAACGAAAAATATTAGTAGTATTGTGAAAAAAGCGCGGGCGATTTGTGCTATATTTTTTGAATATCAAGCGCCCGTCGTTTTTTTCACAGTAATACTAGTATTTTTCGTTCGTTATTGTTTCAAGCTTATTTAAAAAAAATATTTTCAACTTTTCAGTTCGTTAGAAGCGTGTTTTTTAGTTTTTTGAACTATATTTATTGAAATAATAATAGAGTGATTCTGAAAAGAGCCACTCGTCTGTGAAATACCCTCTTTTGTTAACTGACCTTCGACAATTGAGAATTTTACAGAGAAAATCTCAGTTCCATCCACATTATTCATAGAATACTCTATTGTTTTAGTTATTGGATTGTAAAATATATTTCCTATAATTGATAATATCCATGAAGTGTCCTTCAATTAACTATGAGCATTGTAACAAAACAATCTACATTTTCTTAAACGATTTCAAATTATCATTAATTGTTTATAGAATACCATTCTTTCATACACTTTCTGCATATCTGTTCACCTAATTTGTTTAATCTTTCAACTGTTCCATTAGTTTTTGGAATTCATAAAATTTTATTGTTCATTACCGCCTGAATGAGTTGAACATGTTTTGAGTATTCATCAACCAGATATTAATAGATAGATAGAATTTACTGCTATAAATGTAATGAATAATTGGGTTAAAGTTTGGATTTTGGGCTGAATTTGTTCTTTAATTAACAGATAATAAATAGGTCGTAAGTTTTTTATTGTATCTCAATTAGTTTATAATTTATAATAAGTTTTAAACATAAAAAACCAGGTGAGGATGATGGAGTGAAGAAGAACAGAATTTTTAAAATTTGTTACGAAATGTGAATAATTTTTTTTTCTCTAGAAATAATACATAATTGTTTTTGTTACATTGAGTAGAGAGAGAAACGGAATATATGCAATTTTTTATTGGAAAAGTCTAATTGGAGTCTCCAGAGTGCTCCTCTTTCTATTCTTGCATTTTTGCATTTGCACGTTGCATTTTTTTTTGAAGAATCGTTTGGCAATTCCAAGACTCATGTACGCCCTCAGATGTTCCCCCACTTGGTCAAGTCAGTTAGAGCTTGATGAATTTGATAATTTACTCCGTAACATGACGGAATATGTTACAAACAATTATTTCAATAATGATTCATGGCTCCAAGCAACGCTTCCTGTAAACCTTGGCAGACTAAGGCTACGTTCGGCTTCTTCCTTAGCTTTACTATCGCCAGTCATTATTGTTTCTGATCTCAATGATTCCATCCTTCCTTCTATATTCATCAATATCAAAGACGTTCTTTACACTGAAGGTGAATCCCTTTTGAATGTCGCAACTAATATTGCTCCTCCTACAGATGAAAATAAATTACAAAGGCATGGGGCATGGAACCGACCTGTCCCGAACATTATAAATGATAAACTTCTGAAATCTACAAGTGTATACGAAAAAGCTCGTCTGAAAGTAGCAATGATCAAGGAATCGGGTGCTCGGTTGAATGCTTCACCTGTTGCATCTCTTGGAACACTATTAGAAGATGAACCTTTCAGAATAGCAGTAGGGTTGAGGATGGGTTTGTCTATTTGTGTGCCTCATACTTGTGTTTGTGGTAGTGTAGTTGATGAGAAAGGTACGCATGGTTTGACTTGCAGGAGAAGTGCAGGACGTACATCTCGACATCACCAGGTGAACGACATATTGAAACAAGCTATGGTATGTTCCTGCAATTCTGGAACCCTTAGGTACCAGTCGAGATGACGGTAAACGACCAGATAGTATGTGTCTCATACCATGGAAATAGGTAAATCTGTGGTATAGGACTCCACTTGCGTTGACACGGTCGCGGCTTCCCATCTAGCCGAAAGTTTGAAGCCTGCTAGAACTGCATTATTGTCTGGCGAAAAATTAATACAAAAAAAATGCCAAAATCTTGGTAACAACTATCTGTTTCATCCAGCAGCGGTTGAAACTTTTGGAGTTTATGGCCCGGAGTCTCTATTATTCGTTCATGAATTCAGAAGAAGATTAGGCTAAGCAACGAAAGATTGCCGTTCTACCTTTTTTTGATAGAAATAATTAGTATTGCTATTCAACGTGGTAATGCTGCTTCGGTCCTTGGAATTATTCCTCTTTCACATAATTTTGATGAGATCATGCGTTGCCCTCATTTCAGAACAGAACTAAAATCTCTTCAAAACAACCCGAGATATGTGTATATTCATCAGTCTCCGATCAAGGTTAGTTCGCAAGTGATTGATCCACCTTCTTCTTTTTCGTGAATAGCATTTTGAAAGCGTTGTTCATGATGAAGAATTTCAAGAACGAGGTTTTAACGATAACAAGAATGTTTTCTAGTTATTCATCAAACTCAAACACCTGTTCATGCAGCTGCAGTTTCGTAAGAACCCACCAACCGATTTCCTAGGGTCTTTGAAGTCTACTAGGTACTCTTTTGGACAACAAGAAGATTGTTCCGAAACTTTGCAGATATAGTTTTTCAGAATTTTCTCTATTTTACGATTGGTGTTGATTTGAATACTTATAAACAAAGGTCATCGAATAACTTTCTCAAAAACAAATTCAGTAGTTATATATAAATTTTTTTGATAATTCTACTACCAAACAAGTGGATGCAGTGCGTGATTTAGTCTTTACATTTGACGTCAAACTTATATTTTATCCCTATTTTAGGGACAATTTCTTGTTTGTACAAAGTATTGGGGTTCATCATGAGCTTCTCCCAGACAGGATATCGTATGGATATTCAATTCTCAAGTAAACTGACGTAGTTTGATAAACAAATCCTTAAATATACAATGATACAGTCATTGTCCTTTAGGTACCTGCAATGTTATTTAAATTATGAATATTATCTGAGATACCAAAACAACAATTATTCAACTTCTATAACAAAATTACTGACTATTGATCCAAAAAAAACAGCTTATGGGTTGCTCCAGATACAAATGGATCCTTAACTAATTGTTAAATTTCCGCATGTCTGGCCTGTATAAGCTGCTGAATTTCTACAAAATGAATACTTAGGTCATCAGTCGAACAAGTTGAATAAATTTAGTAATAATATGATATTTAGTGTTTGTGGATGTTTGTGTTTATATATATTTTCTCTGTTCATTTTACTTGAGTGTTTCCAGAACAATTTTTGGAATTTGTAAGGAAAAAAATGTACATTTTGGATCAACTGTGTTCGTAGGCTGGCTTATCGGATGTAAAACCGATATGTTATTTTGATATAACTTTTTTTCCTGAAATTTGGTATACGATCATAAAATTGTATAGTCCATTTGGTACTATCTGAGAGTGAAAGAATTTCGAGAATGCTAACATGCCGGTACATCAAAGAAAGCAATATAGTCGCCTCAAGCAAGTGGCACTGTAATTCATCCAAAAAGTCACCAAGATATTTATACCCGATTTGCCCCTTGAGGACGCGGCTAACTAGCCATTAAAATAGTGAATGACGACAAACGACATCTAAAGAGGCGGCCGATGGTTTTTGCGTCGCACTGAGAGTATTCATACAAATTTTCCAATGATATATTCTGTATGGTGCAAAGATGATTGAAATATCGTAAATATTATCGTGATTTAAATATTTTATTTTGAAATGGACATAGTTTTCTATGGAAATAGTTTTCTATTTAGCATCGTTACCTTCTACAGCTCTATAAAATAATAATAATAGTGAATTTAAAAATGAATACAAATGTAGAATGGGCAAAAACTTATTGTATTTCATAAATTAGACTTAAAAAAAAATCTAATTTGTCAGTAACTTGAATTTATAAACTTTTGCATATAAAAAAAATATGTATCATCTGGTGACGTTTTATAGACTATCCATTTTTTTTATCCAACCTATATTTGAATCAAACCATTATAATTTGTGGTTATAATTCATCTTTCGATGTAAATCAACTTAATATTATTATTGACACTGGATGATCATGAAGATGGATAAAGTCTTCGAAAGGTCACCACATCCTAATAACATCCTAGAATTATGGAACTTCACTGTAGGATTCGACTATTGGAGTCATACAATTTGACGCCACTACTATAAGTGTAAATCCCCCATAACCAATTGGTATTTAATGCCATTGTCATCAAAACGATGTTAGGTAGAAAATAAACATAAATTGAAACAACCTTACATAAAAACAATCTTTTATTCACAAATAAATAAAAGTGGGAAAAACATATAAAATATAAAGAAGTGAAAAATTCACTTGAAGTAGGAAAGTTTAGGAACTGTATGTGGTTACCCAGTTCTCGACGACTGTCCTGTATCTAGACAGCCATCTGATGTTATTCTGGACAGTTTCCAAGGCTTTCGCTCGGCTTGCTTTACCAGCCCCAGCATTGGGATATTTTTCGAAAAACGCCTTCATCTGTAATTCAAATAAAATACTTTAGTGAGGAAACCATGCAATCAATGGAGAAAGGAGAACTGGACTGCGGCATCTTCCTTGATTTATCCAAAGCCTTCGATTGTATATAACATGATATTTTTTTATGTAAGAACGGCACTGACATGATTGAGATATGCAAGAAATATTTACTAGTAAGACGAATCAAAATGACGAAAGAACCGACTGAATTTTATCAAAACGAATAATGATAATGAAAAAAATAATTGTAATTCCTCGGCAAAGTTTTCATGTATTAAAATCAATCATACTTTGAGTTGGACAAATCGCATATATAATATATAATATTATATTACAAAAAATTGTCCTTAGTAACATATGCCATAAGTGAATTAAAAAACCCTTTAATTTTCAAGATATAACTAACTGCATATTGAGCTAATTTCTACTTGGTTTTGAGGTTATGAATAACTCTGTAGGATTCACGTTACGAATTGAGCATGGTTTTCTGTGTCAAAGAAAAGAAGTGTATACTGTAATGACTCTGAAGCCGGTCCTGACCGTTATCTCAGACACCAAACGTATGACTCACCGCGAAAGGAATGCGATCGACGAATCGCCACGAAAAGAATCGATAAGTACCGAAACCGTTAGAGGTATCTAGAACGTTCGTTACCAATATTAAAGGTCGGGTCCTCGCTCAGAGAGGGAGTCTGTATCTAGAAAGTGAATCGTGCGTTTAAAGAAAGAATTCTAATCGTGAAGATAAATTAAGCGTTACTTGCTAAGTGTTGTATATAAATTAGTTGTGATAGTGAAATATTGTAAAAATAAATTTGTTTAAGACAGTTAATTCTTAAATTCGTTACAACTGGTGATAAGAAGTGGATTTTTAAAATAAATTTGTGAGCGCTTGGGGGACACTCTTTGTATCATGTTGAAATTGACTATAAGACTTATTTGTTCGCGTAGAGACTGGTGATTCATTGTGTTTCGACAAAATGTGTTCGAGGAAAGTGCGCCTAGTGGACTTAAAAGTCGCTAAATTGAAGCAAGAATTGGAGAAGAGAGAGCTAGATTCTTCCGAAAAGAAATCAGTACTCCAGAAGAGACTATGGGATAACTTGATTGAATCAAGAGAAGATCCGGAAGCATATTTATTCGAAGTTTCTGGGGGTGATTTGAGTTCAATAATGAGCAAACTCGATGAGAACACCAAATCGCTGAAAGATGAACTTCAACAAAATTCGGTAAGTCTGGAGGAGAAACTTCTGGAAAATTCGGTGAGTTTGAAAGATGAACTTCAACAAAATTCGAAGTACCTGAAGGAGGTGCTTCTAGAAAATGCAGAAGGCTTGAAGAAAGAACTTTGTGGTGTGGTGAGTCTACTCGTAGAAAGAATAGGTGCCATCGAGACAGAGATAGACAAAATCAGAGAGAAAATCAAAGGGGAGATCAAAGATGAAATCGGGGCAGAAATCAAGAGAATGAAAGAAAAATTAGGCGATGAAATCAGAGGCGGATTTGAGGCAGAAATCAGCGAGATAAAGGAAACAATTAGCAAGTTGCGAAACCAAACTGTTTATTCTGCCCACCCCACAGAAATGGTTACCGAAAATTCAATTTCGGAATTGAAAGTTGTCAAAGTCAGTTCTGAACCAGAAAAGCTCTCCATGAAGCCGCCCCAGTTCGACGGAAAAACTCCTTGGGCAAATTACCGCCGACAATTTGAAGCTGCAGCCAGAGCAAATGGATGGAATGCAGGAGAAAAGGCGGTACCATTAACACTGGCGTTGCGTGGAGAAGCAACGAATATTTTGCAAACCCTCACGGCCCAAGAACAAGAAGACTATGACCAACTCATAAAGCCTCTTGAGCTCCGGTATGGACAGGCACACCGAGAACACGTTTACCATTCACAGCTGAAGAACCGCTGCCAGAAATCAGGAGAATCCCTACAAGAGTTTGAAGCCGATATAACTCGATTGGTTCGTCTGGCATATCCTGCTACACCGGAAAATGTAATGGAGCGGTTAGCAGTTCAGGCATTCTTGGATGGACTTCGCGACCAAGAAACGGGGCAGGCCTTGAGGCTAGCTCGTCTCAATCATCTCGTGGATACACTGGCAAGAGCTCTGGAGTTTGAGGCTGTGAAACAATCCTGCAAGGGCCAGAGCAAAGTTCAAACTATGGAGGAAGATGGACAGGGTTCTGCTGATATTGAGAAAGGTGATAAAAGGAGTTTCGTCTGAAAGAAAACAAATAAGATGCTGGAACCGTGAGAAAATTGGGCATTTGCGTAGCAAATGTCCAAGCATTCAAAGAACCAACACCAAATCAAGAAAAATAGAGAGGTTCCATGAGAAGGGGCAATTGTCAGCCTGTATACAGCAAGCCCCCGTAAGAAACGCAGATGCCCTGTCACGGAGACCATATCCCGATGGCTGCTCACATTACCGACGAACGGAAGAGAAGGAAGCAGCTATTTGTAGAACGACAGCTCTAGACGACAAATGGGAGGACAATAGGATCAAGGAAGACCAAGAGAAAGACCCAAATCTCGGTTAAGTCATCGGATGGAAAAAAAGTAATCAAAGACCATCGTGGCAGGAGGTTGCAGGTTATTCGCCAGCGGTTAAGTCCTACTGGGCCCAATGGAACTCCCTCACCTTGGAAAACGGGGTTCTGAAGCGAGTGTTGGAGTCTGAAGACGGTGGAGAAGAAAGGCGCCAGACAGTGGTACCCAGGAGCAGACGATGGGAGGTGCTCAAAGAAATCCATGATGGAGTCACGGGAGGACATCTAGGAGTAACAACGAAGACCCTCCAGAAATTAAGACAACGGTTTTACTGGGTTAATTGTCAAGCCGACGTCAAGAACTGGTGCAGAAAGTGTGCTGTATGCGCTGCCAGTAACGGACCTAGGATACGACTGAAAACTCCAATGCGCCAGTATAACGTGGGTAGTCCATTTGAGATAATCGCCATCGACATCACCGGCCCGTTCCCATAGTCCGACCATGGAAACAAATACATCCTAGTAGCCATGGACTACTTCAGCAAGTGGGCAGAATCCTATGCCCTGCCCAACCAGGAAGCCTTTACCGTCGCTGACGTCCTGGTAAAGGAATGGATATGTCGATTCGGTGTCCCATTGTAGCTGCATTCGGACGAGGGCAGAAATTTTGAGTCCAACCTGTTCCAAGAAATAAGTAAACTGTTGGACATTCGAAAGACCAGAACCAGCCTTACATCCACACTCCGATTGAATGATGAAACGAATGAATAAGACCATAAATCGTAACTTGTCCAAAGTAGTCTCTGACCATCAAAGAGACTGGGATCAATATCTCCACCTGTTCCTGCTGGCTTATCGGTCGGCAGTGCACGAGTCAACCGGCCAAACTCCTGCCAGTATTATAATGGGCCAAGAGCTGCAGCTTCCTTCGAACTGAAATCTGGGACGCCGCCAGAACAAGACACTGCGGGGGAAGACTATGTCAGCAAGCTTCGGCAGAGAATGGACGACATCCAAGAACGAGTCCGTCTGAACATCCGGAGTGCTAGCGAAAGGATGAAGGAGGCCTATGACATCAAGGCGAATGCTGGAGGATTCGAAATCGGTGATCTAGTTTGGCTGTACAATCCCAAGCGATGCCGTGGTTTATCACCGAAGTTGCGGAACTCGTGGGAGGGTCCGTACGAAATCATGAGAAAGATCAATGACCTCGTCTACCGAATCCATAAGCCACCTCGAGGAAAGCCTAAGGTCATCCATTTTAATAGATTGGCTCCTTATGCTAGCAATCACGACCAAGTACGCGCTCTCAGACCACCAGAGGATGAAATGACGTTCCAGAAATTCATGTTCTTATACTCGAACGGACAGAAGGTCGTACATGGGGTAACTCGAGAAGAGCCACGAGACCTTTTCAAGGTTCCAGTTGATTACGCACTAGCTCACTGCGTGGCAGAGGATCTCCAAATGTCCAAGGGTATCGCTGTGGTATTCAACAAGAAATTCGGTCAGCTCCAAATATTATGAGAACAGAATCCAGAAGTCGGAGGAGTGCTACAGTTGAAGAAGGGTCAGAGAAACATCTTCTACTTGGTGACCAAAAAGCATTCTCGAGACAAACCGTCCTATGAATATGTCTGGAGGAGTCTTACTAGACTGAAGGAGACGATGCTCGACCAGAATCTCGTGGACTTGGCAATCCCGAAATTAGCCTCTGGGCACGACAGGCTGGACTGGCGAATTGTGAGAAACATGTTGGAAACGATCTTCAGATTCAGCGGCATCCAGATTTTGGTATGCGGTAACCATCTTCCACGACCGAGCATGAAGACTGTGGAGTGTTACTTTCATCGAACTTCACAGTGCAGATATGGGGAGTTCTGCAGGTGTCGACACACGCCAAGAATGACATTTCGAGACGAAACGTCTTTAAGAAGGGGGCAATGTAATGAATCTGAAGCCGGCCCTGACCGTTATCTCAGACACCAAACGTATGACTCACCGCGAAACGAATGCGATGGACGAATCGCCACGAAAAGAATAGATGAGTACCGAAACCGCTAGAGGTATCTAGAACGTTCGTTACCAATATAAAAGGTCGGGTTCTCGCTCAGAGAGGGAGTCTGTATCTAGAAAGTGAATCGAGCGTTTGAAGAAAGAATTCTAACCGTGAAGATAGATTAAGCGTTAGTTGCTAAGTGTTGTGTATAAATTAATTGTGATAGTGAAATATCGTTAAAAATAAATGTGTTTAAGACAGTTAATTCTTTAACTCTTACAATACTTTTCAATGAAGGCTTCAGGGATTCCTGTAGAAAAACATTCAAGTCAAATACGTTTTTCACTGTATTCATATTTTTAATTCATAAAATTTCTCATTCATTTCGAAAAACATCCCCATCCAAACAAAAATTCTGTACGAATGGAGCATCATTTACGGATCAATAAAATATTGCAACAGACTTAACGGAGGTATAGGAAACATTGAAGTGGTGAGTAGATTTCTGAAGTCAGTAAAATAATTTTTATGCGAACAGGAACCCTATAGTATCAAAAAATATTCTCAGGGTTGTTTATTGTGCCCAATTGTGTGCGGAGAGATTGGAAGAATCCAACCTCATACACAAGTCAATAAAAATTTTCTTGGACAGTCAAGCGGCTTTGGAAGCTCTTGGCTCCTATCGAGCAACGTCTAAATTGGTAGCAAATTACCAAAAACGACTCTCCTTGATAGGAAGACTTAACAGATTGTCTCTGGCTGTACTGGCCTGGAAGGCAATGAGGCTGCTGACTCCCTTGCAAAGGGGGGTGCTTCAGGCAACTTCATCGGACCAGAACTTGCCATTGGCATCATTTTAGGTGTTGCCAAACAAAAATTGAACACCTGGATGGCAAAAAGATTAATGGACTTCTGGCAGAATCTTCCAGAATTGGCTCACTCCAAGGTATGTATTCACCCTTCCAAGCTTGATACCAAAAAGTTGTTGGACTAATGTAGAGATGAACTATGATGTCTAACGGGTCTTCCTACAGGTCACTGTCATTTGAATCATCATATGCAGAGACTCGGACTGTCGGAAGACAGTGTGTGTCGCCTCTGTTTGGAAAATGATGAAACTGCAGAGCACATACTTTGTGCCTGCCCCGCTGGGGACCGAATCAGATTTTTACAGTTCGGCAGAGCCGTACTCTTACCATCTGACCTGAAAGACCACTCATCATACAAACTAATTGGCTTCGTTAAGACGCTGGGTTTATTTTGTCGAGTGTGAATAGGTGTGAGCCACAATAAACCTTTGCGGGTTGCGGTGGAGGGTCGAATAGACCCACTCACTCTGGACCTAACCTAACCTAACCTTATTTTCCATTTAGTGTGCAATACGCCAGATCAAACTGCGATTGATCCTATTCCACATATTGTCGTAGCATATATTGTTACATTTTAATTTTTTTTTATATTTTTACATGGAAAAATCAAAGTTTCATTCAATTGTCACCATTATACTAAAGCTTTCAACTCACCTCTATTATTTTTTCCTCAGATGCAAATCTTCCCGTTATGGCAGGAATTAAAGAACCCAAATATCGGTCATTCAAAGTGAACCTGCCCACTAAGTATTCCCAGTTTTCTCTAGAACGAAAGTGAACATCAAAAAAATTATACCTTTGAAAAGTAATCATTTACCTGACCCATGTCCAAACTAGTTCAGTCCCTTGAGGATTTGCAGAAATATATTGTAGTACAGTGAAGAAATCTTGGCCTCTTACAATGGATTCGTCTTTGGCAAGTTCAATCAGTCTATTAAAAAAATCATATCAATTTAGTTTCGAACAAAATATTTTTATTTTTCGGCAATAACAGTAAGAGTGTTTTTTCTTATAATTTTATCCGTATTTGGTACTGAAGAGCAGATAAGGCAAGTGTCTTAGGCGAAACATCGGATGTCCACCAGTGAGGATGACAGTGTTCTATGTAAATGAAATTTTACTTCTTTCATTCATCATATTGTGTAGGAATCCTGTGAATGATATCTGATTCGATACCATTACGAATTAGAATACAAACAGAGTAGAGAAAAGTGTTTTTCGTATAATTCAGTGTTCATATAGAAGTATTCGTTTCGAAAGTGTTTTTATTTTGTGTAATTCAATAGTAATATGAAAATAGCTGTTACAAGAGGGTTTTTTCTTCCAGTTTGTGTATGGAAGTTACTCCTTTGCGTGATCTACACATCTTTGTGGAGAGTAAATTTTTGAAATTGATTGCTTCCTTCCTTTCTTTGGAAGATTGCCACATTTTTTGTATCAAGATGGGCAAGTTGAAAATCAAAACCTTTCTTTCCCAAAATATTATTCTCTCCTAAAAATATACCTACCCTTTCAATTCAAACAATTATAGATAACAGGATATTTGAAAATGCTGAGATGATTAATAATTTTTTTGCTGATATATTGAAATAGCATATTGAGTCACATGAACTACAATTCAGATTCATTATCTGCTCTGTCAATACTGGGGAACCTGACGGACAGAAATAGATCGATTCTATACTGGTGCTAGGACACTCGGGTATCACACACAACGAAAATGCTGATGAGTGTGTCAAACACCTGTGCGGGTACCACTATAAGAAACAAAAGTATTAGGAAAATATACTCAGGAATACACTGAAACATTTACAAAGGGACCGTCTGAGAAAAGATCTGAAGAATTGCTTCAATAAAGCAGAGATCGAGATAAATACAAGACTACTTTCATGGACATTGTCAATTGAGGAAGCCCTTGTATAACGGAGACCTCACCTGCAGACAATGCATGTTTTATGCGAATTTATGGACAGAATTCACTGAAGACTGTTGCGATTTTCACTATGAAAGGTTTACAAAACAGCGACACGTGTTGCGCAAAGTTTTTAGTGAAAAACAAATACAAAATCTCATTTGTGAGTTTTGATATGGATTCTCATCAAGTACCGGCCAGTTCCATTCAAACTTATGTACAACCCAAAATAGGTCCTGGAGAATAGGGCGAACATACAACAAGGGACATGTACGAACTAGTACAGAAAATCAGATTTGAATGGAAATCCTGAAAAAGATGGGAGATGGTATGACAAGATGTTTCACAAATGTATGTCGAGCCAAACATAGTGGCCAAATTGATAACTAGTCTTTTACAATTTTCATATTTTTCTGGGACATGTTTGACCCAAAATTCTTCAAAATTCTTCTATGCATTTGCAAAGACACATCTTCTTGCAGATCAATTATCTCCATTTGAAGTGACGGCTTTGACAGATTAAACAACTTGGCAGCCACATCTGTCCATTTGGCCGCTGCATCAATGTCAAATGGATATTTAAGAAACGGAGATAGCGCCTGTCTCTGCAAAGTCTTGGAATCTTGTAGCAAATTCGTTCTTGAATTCGGGCAGAAATTTTACAAACTCTGCAATGTCTTCTTCAGAGATCTCGTTTTGAAATTCAACAATTGTCAGTAAATGAATAAATTCTTCAAAGATATCCAGCTTACGACGAAAAGCAGACACGCTTTGTATCAGATCACAAATAAATTTTCCGTTCAAATATTTTAAAATATCTTTTAGAAAAGCCCACAATCAGCATATTGCGCTCGTTTTTTATAAACTCAAAGTTTTTTCTGGCTCCTTGCGTATCCAAGTTTTGTAATAAGGAGGATACTTGTTCTTTTCCACCTTTACTTAGCCAACGAACATTGTTGTGTTGTAGTAAGATACAAAACGCAGAATCACATACAGAAAGGAACTCTTTGAAATGTCGGTGCTGAGGAGCAGAATGGGATCTTATAAAATTAATCAACTTGCCCAAGTTGTCCTTCACTTCTTTGAGTGTAGCACGAAGTTTTTCACAAAGGGCTGCCTGGTGAATTATGCACTGATACGATATTAGACCTGAATTTTTATCTCTGATTCTCTTTACTACACCTTTTTCTTTGCCAATCATTGCTGGGGCCCCGTCAGTTGAAAGCGAAACCATTTTATCATAACTGATGTTATATTTCGTAATAAAATCAGCAATGGCCTTGAACAAGTCTTCTCCTCCTTGAGTGTTACCTTTCAACGGCAATATTGCTAGCAACTCTTTCCTGAAAATCTGACACTCAATGTCAAATAATCTTAAGAAAATTGACATTTGTTCATCATCAACAATATCACATGATTCATCAAGTGCTATGGCGTAGCCAGAAGCCTTTTGCAGAAGTTCAAGAAGAGTGTTTTTAATATTCGCAGCTAAAATTTCAATTCTTCGTGTATTACTTCTCGCTGACATTGGAATACTTTGAATTGCAGACATCTTTTTTTTCTTCAAATTGTGACATAACTACTGCCAATTTACATTCCTGAAAATGGTTTCTGGTGTTTATTAAACGTCCAGCACACACGTAACGCTGCTTCTGTGGATTTTTCTTCGTCGCTCATGCAACGAACTAGTAATTCGGTACTTTTTTCGTAAGAACTGACATATGTCTGATTTTTTTCTTTACGAGTCTGACTGCCAAAAGGAAAGTTTTTGGGGAATTGCTGATGAGTTGTTTCGTAGTGTCGCTTCAAATAAGGCACACTGGAACCGCTTGAGGCCTATCAGGCAGCGTAAAACAATATTGTTCAATCCATTCTGCCAAAAACCTTCTATTTTCACTGTCGACTTTTCGTTTCTTAGGATCCATATCAATGTAGGTACAGAAAGATTTGTTATCAAACAAACAAATACGATAGAAATTATAAAACAAATGTCCGGTTACTCCGTTGTTTGTGCTGCGACTAATGACTGGCAGTCTGCTTTCAGTGCTTTCCCCCTATCGATTTCGATACGCGCTCGTGCTTGTTTCAACAAAACAAAACAGGAGCCAAAAATGGTACAAAGTTTAATCTATGGATGTTTCGTGTGCAGAGATTTGAAAATATTTAAATCGCATCAGTCTAATTCGCACACACACAGGCTAGATAGAAAACTTATCAGTAGTAGGTAAAACAGGTTTACTAGGCAACTTGAAATAGAATACATACTAAGTTATTTTTTAATTGTTTTATTTTAATTGATAAAGGTATGGTATACCTCATCTACGAATTTTTATGGTATATACTTGGTATATAATTCAATATTTGGGGCGGTCCGCGGGTCAACCTTTCGCGGTCCGTAAACAAACTGCGGTCCGCCTGTTGCTGACCGTGGACCTATAGGATCGACAAAAAAAATCAATCCTCGAATATCAAAGATGAACGAGCCTTCCATAGGCTGTCAGTTGCAAAGCCGAGCTTCGACATCGGCCGCCGAACGAGATTTGTCCTGTGTCTTCCACAGCAGCTTTCACTGCAAGGAAACTGGATGAACTTGTGATCTAAGACCAGATAACGTTGTTTCAACCCAATTCGTCCTCTGTCTCTCACTGCAGCTATTACTGTGAGGCAACTAGATGAAATTTAGATCCAACACTCGAGTTGGTTCATAAAGTGAAAAGTTATTACCTTTGCTTTCAGACTTGTCTTTTTTAAAACAGTTGGGTGTTCCAGCCTAGCACCATTTTTGGGAGTTTGGTCATTAATTTTTTCAATCTGTCTATATTCCCGATATTGAATGACTGAAATAGAAAAATAAACTGCTGCAAATATTGCATACCTATTAAGTAGTGTTACATTTTCCACGCTTGCTAACCCATATACAAGCTTCACCTTTTCGCTAGCATCACTTTCGCTCTTGTAAATTTCTAGCAAACTCTCCCAGACAGACTCATTTGCATTCTTCATACCTAAAAATTAATGAAATCGTTAACCACACATCATTTATCTGGAAAGTCCTTCAAGTTATTTACCATAGTGGTAAACGAGGCTCCTCAAATCTTGAGACAGAGGTTCCTTGGATTGTATCCAGTTGTTGAATTGGTTCTGGGCTTCTGTAAGACAGTTTTCTTGATCTACTGCACATGCTAAACCAAGTACCTCAATTCTCGCCAACCTAGACAAAACATAAAAATTACTCTGTGCCAATAGAGAATGATTATTTTCATGAAATTCAGTCTGGATTAACAAAGGTTACTCTTTGGAATAAATATATAAACTATTGGATACCTTTTAAGATGGCCGTCATCATTGTCTTCATTCCACGTGAAATTTTCATAGGCCGGTGTACAAATTTTACCTATGTATTTCTGGAACAAAAAAACAATTATACAATACGATTTTTTTGAGTTGCTTCCTACATAAGAGTCAAGTGTCACAATGGGGAATGTTTCTCCTGACGAAAATCAAGTAGTTTTCATAAAAGTGCTCTAAAACAACAACAACAAACATTTTAAACTTATCATATCAACCTTTTTCTTCAAAAAAATATTTAAATACTTAAAAAAGAGGAATGAAATAATGCATTCAACATTTAAAGGGATTCGTTTCTATTTCACCATTTGGCAACATCGGTTATAGCTAATAAAGGACAATGAATCTGTTACCTGTATGAGATAAACAAAGATGACATATTTCAGAGGCGTGCTGTTCTTTTTACTTATGTTCAGAGTTCCGAGACATTCTGTAACATATGACATTTTGTGCAACTAACCTATCTTCCCCTAAATAAATAAATAACAAAACAACTGTTGTTCATGTGGCTTGTGGAGGTGGTATTGAACTATAATTTAAAGATAATTTTCCTTTTCAAAAGTAGAATATCTAGATGCCTATAAATTATTCCAACCTGATATAGGCGCTGTTGCCAATATGTGAATTAGAAACAAATCCCTTTAAAAATTGAAACCCAACATTTGAAATATCAATTTGAATACTTTTCGAAGTGAATTTGAAAAACTCATGGATTAAACTCAACTTTATTTTGTTCAAACTTGCATTTGCTGAAATAACCCTAATTGAAGAACATTTCCCATTCTAGAACTATCAAATATTAATGTATAAGCTATGAAATTTTTCAAATTTTCTTTACTTTTTGACATTAACTGGTCACATGTAGACAAAAAACCAAAATAGTCAGATAATTACTACTTAAATGCAGAAAGCCGACATTATTGCCAATATTGTTGTAAATCGTGCAAAAAGGTGGCGCCGGCCGCCACTGGTCACAAATCTATTGTGACTTGGCCAAGATCGCGCTCTATTCGACTTGCGCTTCGCGATTGTTTTAGGTGTCAAGCCGCTTCGAGAATAATTCTATCAGCTTCCTGAGATTTCCATTGGTATATATAAACACTAACAACATGCAGATCAGGGAGTTTAGTTGACAGAGGGGTACAAAGTGATCTAATGATGCGATAGATATTTGAGTATTACTCTGAAGTTTCAGGTAAAGTGTTTGTGTCGTATTGTCACTGTAGCACCGAAATAAAGTTGTTTTAATTATTATTGTCAAACCCACGGGGAAAACGTAACGATATATTGTATGTCACTTTATTGTTTGAAAATGTGTTAACACTGGAAGACACATAAAAGGATTGATTGGTGCTTATTTCAATTTGTTAAATCGGATTTCGCTCCAAACAAGTTTCCAACACTCTTTGTATTGTGATACATTTCCATCCTTCTACAAATTGAAAGAATGAGTAACAAAAACACCCCAATTCTAATCAGTGGTATCCTCCCATTTCAGTTTTTTTTTCAAAATATGGAGATATATTGAATGAAATCATATCATATTGCAATAAGTATGGACATTGTTTACTTATGAATTTATTTTATTGTTGAGCCCTGTGATAGATTTGATAACGAAGAAAAGAGAAATGAAACTCTCTGTTTTTTTACTACTTCTATTTGTAACTGACGTTACTACAGTTTCGTCCTATACGGTGTAGCGTTTTGCTACGAGATGTTTTTGAACAAGATAATTAAATTTACAATAGGGTTGCCGAAAATCAAAAACACCACTAACATGCCCGACTAGGTCAGTGGTTTGCACAAAGTCGTGGGTGCAACTAATTAAAAGAAAAACAATGATTTTTAACTAAATGGGGAAGCGCCACCAATTTTTGTTGGCCAGTTAAAAACCGGAAAACTGCCCAGTTATTGGGGAAGCCCACTATTGAAATATTTAACTTCTCATAAAAGTAATAATTCTATTTGCAATGACTAAGGAAGTTTATTAGTAATATAAAATAATTAATAATAAAAAAAAGAAATGCAGTGACCCCTCTGTTTGCCAATTCCTCACTTCAATTGCTAGATTACTACTATCATAATACATTCGCTAATATGTGCTAATATGTGACGTCACGTAAAAGCTTACACCACTCATCTCAATGAGGTAACTTGTACATTTTATTATAGGAAATAAATAAACACCGGGTTCTTTATTCAAATAACTTAGTCTAAACTTAGCTGTTTTTCGGGTGCTCCTTTTTCGTAAGCTGCCAGGGAATGAATACTGATCCGGCAGTATCGGTGGATACGGATGTAGTAGGAATCGGTTAATATTTCCAGTGGTAATTATTAGTAAAGGTAACGATCAGGAAACTTCTTCAAGAGACTGATCTGGCAATCGATTTCAATTTCCCAAATTCAAGCTGATGCAAATACGCCTTTCTTAGGAATATTCTAACACCCTGAAGAAAAATATTCTCATGACAACATCGTAATCAAAAGGTAAGAAAAATAAGGACAAAATTTATTATGAGTTCCATAGCTGAGTTGAACAAGGTTGTTTGAAAATACTGTACTAACCTCCTAATAATCGAGGGTGTTTCCAACACAAAACAGACAAAGATCGTCCTCTGAGAATTGAGAGAAAATACTGACTATTTGCCCATTTTATAAAAATCCTGCTTTTGCAGCGGTGGTTTCCAATACTGCCCCAAAATACTCCAAACTTCACAATATCAAAAAGGAATCACAGTTGGCTGAAAATTCGAAAATCCCTTCTAGGTAGTGAACGAGCGAAATAATTCAACCAGGAAATCAGTTCATTCAGCAATTCACAATCGAAAAATATCTTTTCGCCAAAATTTCCGTCCTTGTCCTTATCCTTATATCCTTGGGTGTGAGAAAAAAAGGAACACAACCTATTAACCTACCTAGTCGGTGTCATAGGCGGGTTAGAAAGGTTTTAAATATACATAAATTCGCATGTGGAAATGAATAAACTAACCGATTATTAAAAGTATAAATAAATTGTTTAATTTATAACAAAGCAAAATTGTATCGTAACGGTTTATAAAAACCTACTGTACTTTTCATTTAATTTTTATTTCACCGAAGGTAATCCTAATTGATTTAAAAGAAAGTTTACTGAGGAGTAGGCAATCCAATTTACACCTTTTGCCTCGTTAGATTTTCACTTCTCAATACACATATGATAATTAGTTTCTGGTACAGATTGATAAGTTTTTCTTCCCAATAGGACCGATTCATTCGGATCCCTTCGAGGTAGATTTTCTATTTTCGTTAAACCGAAAGTCAGGAATGAGGTGTTGCCAAAATTATTTGGGTGAATTCCTCAGAATGCACATGCGCGGTAGGTGATCCTTGATCATGAGAACAGCAAGGAGATGTGCCATTTTTGGAAAAGAGAAGTGATGAACGAGAATCTCGAGAAGAGATTTGTTTAGTGGTGAGCCGTGTGATCCAATTTCGAGAATTTGAACGATATTGTTTCGGATATAGTTTCATATATAGATTTTGGGAGTTCCATAAAAGATTGAACTTCCTGAGGATTCTACTGGGTCACAACACCTTTTCCAGAACGAGCGACGGCATTTCTTTGAAAACGTTATTCGTGATTTTTTTGGTTAACGAAACCCATCGTTTAGGAAGGTATGGAAATTCATTTCAATTCTTTCAATTGCATATGAGATTCACCTTTTAGTGAATCGAACTTTTGAATGAATTTCCATTATGGAAATAGTTTTTTCAGGGTTTCAGTATTAGAGACTTATTACAATAGTTTTTCTGCAGAAGAGCTTCTATAGAACTTGTCTGAAATCATTAAAGAGGCAACAAGGGCTTCTACCTCGATTGCCTTACGGAATAGATTTTCAGTTAATTTGCCGATTGGTGGGTTTTTCATTCGTCCAGTTCGATAAATGTCATTGTCCACGTCCACAAGATAGTCTGAGTCCATTTTATTAATTAGAAAAGTACGTGCTCCAAGTCTGTCCCGTTCCTGGTAGAAGAAAACTGCAGCTACAGCTCAAGCTGTAGCTGCAGTTGTAGCTGTAGTTGCAGTTGTAGTTGCAGCTGATTTATTGACAAGATACAATTATTGAATTTTGAGTTGACCCATTCATAATGTAAACCTGAACAGAGTATACTCTGATGAGGTAATTTTCAACACCATTCCTAATAATTCTTTTTTTATGACATGAATCTTATAAGTAATACTTTTCCTAATATTTTTACCTGGACTATCCTTAGGTAAATGAAAGCGTACTTTTACCTACGATCATTATTGAGTTATTACAATTTGTTTTACACATGATTAAATGACAAATTTGGAGCACATTCAGATTTTTATTTCTACCCTTATTCAATTTACCAGCCAGTATTTTGTGAATATCAAGTATCTTCAGAATATCTCATTTTTATAGATTCACTTCATTGCTGTGCTTTAAAGAACTCAATTTGATTAGATTTGGATTCGCAGTCGGCCATGTCATGTATCACTTATTTTATAGGTTGTGTGGCGCCCAACTTAGATCTTTATTAAAGAAATTATTCAATTGCTGAAATTTCAGGAAACTGAAAATTTTTTTTGAACGAAACCCCTAGTGCATACCGACGAAGAGCTGCCGTACGCATTGTGCCTATCTTTCGAGTAAATCTATTATAATTTTTGTGTTTCATGAAAGATAAGGTCAAAACGGACATTTTCAAACTTATACAATAAACTGTACCTATGTTGTCTATGTTGTATGGAGTTTATTGTATAAGTTTGAAAATGTCCGTATAGGACGAAACTGCAGTAACGTTAGTTACAAATAAAAGTGATAAAAAACTTAGAAAGTTTCATTTCTCTTTTCTTCATTATGATTTTCTACCACGTAGTAACGGCTACATCCATCAATGAATTTGTAACGTCCGAAACTTTGACAATAATTTAATTTGTTTATCTACGAAAGCTTTTGATCTCTTTCCCAACAATTAATTGGGTGAACAAACCTCTAGCTTTCAAAAAAGATAAAGTACTTTGACTTTAGCCGAATAGTTTTCGATCCATTGAAAAAAATATTGAGTTTATATTCGAGCTTACATTTGAAGAGCCAAACTCACCTTAAATGCAGTTTCTTGTTTTGAATCCGACCCTCGAAGATATCTGAGAATCACTTTCAATTTAGTGGACGCCACACTCCAAGGGGTGTAATCAGTTTCCTTTTCCAAATTTTTCGTTAGGTTCAGAGGGATTTCGTAGCTCAGTTGATCAGCTTCTGCAATACTGAACGATTCCTCCAGCAAATGTGTTCTATCGGCTGTATTCAGTGAATGGTAGTTGCTGATCAGTTCGTTCCATTGTGCCAGAGGGTAGTTCACTCTGTAATAGCCTACTTGGTCATGGTTGAATTTGATCCATTTTGCTTCTTTCGGTTTTGTGATTGTTACTGAAAATAGAAGATTTTCAATTCGTTCAAATGTGGTTTTCTAGGAATGTATACATTGCTTCCACGAAAAAGGAATAAATGATATTATATAATTCTTCTAAACTCTAATATAGTATATCGAACAACAAGTGTTCCATAGAGATTTTCTAAAATTGGACAAAATTTTGTGTGGTAATTTGATATTATTTGCTTTAAGAGTAAAATATAGGTCGTCATTCTTGTTCCCCAAATATAAGTTACAGTCCTCGTGGTTTTGGTTCCCTTTCAGTAGAAGAGCTTCATGGAGCAAAAGCCGAATCGATACCCTTCATCACTTGGAAGGATCGATTGCAGCTTGAGAAATGGTTCTGATGCAGATTCTGTGGAACATGTTCTTCCATACGAATCAGTAGACAGTTGTCCTGAAAATCTTGCGAAGAAAATTGGACAAGTTAATTCAGGAAACACTTGTTACATGAATAGCATTTCTCAAGTGTTGTTCATGACGAAGAGTTTCAAGAACGAGTTTTAACGATGAACGAAAACGAGAATGTTTCCTACTTATTCTCCAAACTCAAACACCTGTTCATGCAGCTGCAGTTTCGTAAGAATGTATCATCTTTTCCACCAACCGATTTCTTTGAGCCTTTAAAGCCCACTAGATGCTTGTTAGGACAACAAGAGAATTATTTCGAATTCTTGGGGTCCTTGTTGAATACTCTACGTGAGCAGGAAAATAGCAGAATCAATACTCCTGACCGCTCTGGCATGAATGATTCCGTACAGTCTATCTCGTCTTGTGTTTATAGATCTTTTGCTGACAAAATCCTCACTAGTTTACTTTGTAGTACATGTTCGAAAGGTAGCAAAAAGGTATGTGACTTTCTAGAACTTAAACTAGCGTTTTCTAATATGACTGATAACCAGTCCGTGTAAAGCTTATTGTAGAATCATCTGGAAATAGAACTTTTAATGGGTGATGATCAACTATATTGCTGAATGTGCGCCAAACTAGCTATTATAAGGCAACAAGTATAGCTGAGGCACCAGTCAATCTAATGACTCAACCTTCGACAGGAGCACCAAACTCTTACAAAGGTTCGAAATAGATGAACACTTCAATCTAGCAGACCACAATTATCTTCGTATAGTCATTATTCTGGTTCTGGCGTTGAATCTGGTCATTATTACGCATTGGTCAAAGACGAAACGGACTGGTTTAAGTTTGACGATAGTCGTGTCACGAAATATTCTGGCAATAGCTTGAATTTATTGGAGCCTCTGTAGACACCCCACATTTCATTCTATGAAAGAGATAAAATTAGCATATCAAAATCTTCAAATGATGTGGTGCTGAAGGTTTTTCCGAGATTCTCTGCAGCTGAAAAAGCAAATGCGCTAGTGGAATTAATGAAGACGCCCCGGAGCGCCAATTAATTTTTGTGGTTGTTTCATAACTTGTATTACTTTATTTTTTTATGAAGTAATTTTATAATAAAAAAATATTGTGTTTCTGAATTAAACTCAATACTTCCATTTGACCGCCAGTCAAATAGCGGTCTGCAAGGTTCACTACTGTACACTGAGAAATTATTTTATATAAATCCCAAATAATTTTACTTCCCATATAATACAATTCTATAAGAGGTTTTCGTCGAGTGACAGGATATTGTTTTCAATTCACAATTTTTAATTTATATATATTCTTAGTGATGAGAAACAATCTTTATTCATATTTTTATTATTTATTAATTTATTCATTCATACATGAATATATAACATAAATATATAACTTCAAAGGGAACTATTTCAGAATTGGTGTAATTAATAACCAAAAAAAAAACGAACAAATATTATAATGTAAATCAGTGAATAAAACAAATAATTCTTTGATCAATATAAGTAAGATTATGGACATCCCCCCTGCCTATCCAATTCAAAAAAAATCTCCACAGAGGTTGAGAAATCGTTAACTATATTTTTATGCAGCCATCATTGCAAAGCAACTACACCTTATCGTTATCAAATTTACTTTTAATTTATCTAAAAAATTAATAAACAAACAGGAATAGTTCATGTTCATAATTCTTGAAACATCATTTCCCTTACACCTCACCGATTAAGAACTAATAAGACGCTATTAGATTATTCCCGTTATGGCTATAGCATCACTTTATGGTTGATCCCCTTTACTTACACTCAAATTCCAAAGCAAATTGCAATATATTCGAAAGTATTAACAAAGAAGAAAAGAAACAAAGTGCAAAAAATATTAAATGAAGGTGGTAGGATTACCTACTCACAAGAATTGCTATAGGACTTTAATATCGGGAGACGAAAATATATAATTCATATAATAACAAATTGAGGGAGAAACTCAATTTGATATAACTCAACATCATTAGAGTTTTGAAAGTTTTAATGAAGCAATTCCATTGTGTACCCGTATACAATTAATTCTGTTATTATGTTCTTCCTATACAGATTAATTAGGTGAGTAGTAAGGTTAGTAAGATATATTACTAACCTTATCACCAAAGACAAACATTTTTGCATGGAAATGAATGAATTTGAGTAACATTTTAAATAGATACTTACATTCCTCATCACTATGCTTCAGTAAACTCAGTTCTGTAGATTTGCCTGAATCGGTAACATAAGTTACCGGAACCGTCCACTTATACCTGCAAATTGGAATCAAAATGTTATCGAAGTCATGATTGTTTCTCAATGTTCAATAATTGAGTATTTCGAAAGTATAATTTCTTTATGTACACTTTTTTGCTATAGTAAGGAAATATTTTATTGGATTCTATATTTTGATAATTAGGGCATATTATGTCCATTGGTACTTCAAGACAAAATTGCTATAGTTGAAAAACTCTTTTTTTCACTCCAGTACTTGAGTTGTGTGTGGTATGTCAAATCACTTACAGTAACAAACGGTACTGTGCAGTAATTAAGGTTAGTATAGACTACTCTTACTACTAGTACTGTTGTCCTTATTGGTTTGGAATAGAAATATGTTACAGGGTGTAACAAAAAGGTAGGTCATAAATTCAACCAAATATTCTGGGGTCAAAAATAACTCGACTGGATATAACTTACCCTAATGCAAATGTGCACACAAAAAAGTTACAGCCATTGGAAAGTGAAAAATGAAAATCGATTTTTTCCAATATTTTATGAACTGTTCAACATTTTGTAATGAAAATGGATCCATGGCTTTCTTATTGTAAGAGCATCGTTTTCATACTATGGAATCTGTTCAGCCTATAAAAATTTTAGGGAGATATTAATGATAATGATAATGTTTTTATTCCTTTCAAATGATCATTCAATAATGATATAGGAAACGTTAAGTAAAAAAAACATGTAGATGTATAAAACGGGGTTAATAAATAACATAGAGATTACAGTACATTGATCACAATTATTTGGAAGTATTCTCAAAATACTCATTGATAGAATAAAAACATCCCTCTGACCAAAAGGTATTCTTTAACTTTTCATTTGAAAGTAGAAAATAATGGGATACTCTTTATACATGAAGGCAGACAATTGAATAACTTGGAGCCTGCTAGAGAGGATGATTTTTGAAACAATCTCGTTCGATATTGCTGCACTTTGATTAGATTTCCATTTCTTGTTGGGTAATTGTGACACTTTGAAAAAGCAGACAATTATAAATGTATATAGATGGTAGCGTTAAAATTTTTCTTTTCCTAAAAATGGGTCTACAGGAATCTGTGTGTCGAAGACCATACAACATACGTATTATCCTTTTTTGAGAGATGAATGCTCGACTGATGTTAATTACCTCTCTCCACAAAAGCACATTGTAAAATAGTAGTGAATAGTAAATGTTCAACAATTGCTCTTCATTCATAACCGTTTAAAGTTGTACCAATGCGTAAAAACTGGTGTTGATTCTCTTGCAAACATAATTTATGTGAACTTGTCAACTCAACCCAGAATCTATATGAAGAAGAAATAACCTGTATAGGCTGTATAGGCTCTAAGTGTCTTCGCTTGAAGAATTGAAATAGCACCGTTTTGTCGGCATTGACTATAAATTTATTTGTGTGACTCCCTTTCGTAAATTTACGACTTATTGTGTTCAGTTTCGACTGTAGTTCCGCAGGAACTGTAGAGACTGTAGTATCATCGGCAAATATGATATTGATTTTGTACCTAGATGTTAAGGTAAATCATTGATATAAAATCAGAAAAATCAGTGGTCCCAAAACTGAGCCATGTGGAACTCCATATCTACGTTGAATGTAACAGAGTTCGTATCATCCCGTGTTACATATAATTTCCAGAACTATTGCATATAATTTGTTTGTAAGTAGGTATATCAAAATCTATGGAGTCGAATGCCTTGGATAAGTCAAAGAAAAGCGCAGCTACAAATTCACCTTGTCAATACCATTATAAATATGCTCCAGGAAAGTTGCAGCCGCTCCTTCCGTGGACTTACCGGGGCAGTATCCATGTTGCTAGCTACTGATTATATTGTGTTTCACCAAAAAAGGAAATAATTTGTTACAGATACTTTTTCAATTACCTTAGCCAACACACTGTAAATGGTTAATGGTCTATAATTATCGATTATAAGGGGATTATTTTTCTTGTATAAGGGAATTATTTTTCCAATATTCAGTGGGTCTGGAAAGATTCCGTCCTCAATAGATTTATTGATTATGAATGCCAGTGGTTCACAGATGAATTCAGTTATAGATTTCATTATTTTTGTAGTAAGGCAGTCCATTCCGGAGGAATTTTTATTCTTAATTTCAGTAATGACATTGAAGACCTCAGTTGGTGTAACAGGATTGAAATAAAAACTATGCATGTTAACGTTTCAAGCTGTTGTACCTAATAAAATTTCATTTCTGAATCGTTCTTGTAAATCATTTGGAACCATAGTTGCAGACTCAGCAATTATTTTTTATTTTCGACCAGTTCATTTTCGAAGTAAATTTCCTAAAACGCCCCAAACCTTTGAATGCTAGATGAACAACAAATTTCCTTCAATACTGTCTAGAATTTCACTAGTTCGAACTTCCATTGTCTAATATATAAAATGATTTGAAATCCCCGAAACAACTGAAAATGAAGAGTTGAAATTCAATTATTCTTTTTCAGTTGTTTCGGGGATTTCCAATCATTTTATATATTAGACAATGGAAGTCCGAACTAGTGAAATTCATCATGAAACATTGCCAATCACCTTCAAACAAACATACTGTCTAATTGTTTTTCACCTCCTAGCACTTTTTCGAAAAACCAGTTTTTATCGAAAAACAAAAGTCAATAGAGTTCTGGACTTTTGGCTGGCCAAAAAATAGATGCATCAGAGCCCCTTCCAATCCAACGTTTAGAGTACAGAACGAAACGATATTCCCTAACTTCGTTATCAAAATGCGCTGGAGCTCCATCTTGCAAATACCATATATTTTGCCTTATTACTAAATTTATGTCATTCAAGTATGCTGGTGAATCATTTTGTAAGAACTGAAAGTAATTTGCACCATTTGAATTATTTGGAAAACATCAATTTTCATTACAAAATATTGAACATTTCAAGAACTATCGGAAAAAATCGATTTCCATTTTGTACATAATTCCTTGATTACTTTAATGTTACTCACTTATAAGTCGTTTCCGATTCATTGTATTCTGCTTTGGGATCCTTAAGGAACCTCTTCTGTGTAAAGGTGTAGTTGTCTCCTGATACAGTGGCAGTCAGGATAGGATATCCCATTTGGACAGTGAACGTATCCATTAATTCTGCAACATTCAGTTTGTTACCCACTACGTTCTGTATTTCGGTTAGGAAGTCTTCGGTAACGGCGTTCGAATAAGCGAACTTGTTCAAATAGTTTTTCACTCCTTCTTGAAAGTTGGCTTCTCCGACCGTCGATTCAAGCATTCTCAGAATGGAAGCTCCCTGTAAATAAAAAAATTAAAATAGAACACCTGACTAAATTCACACTCTAGTGATTGTCAATGAAAAGATGAAAACATATTTTCATTGTAGAAGTAGTCTGCAAGTAGATTCAATGAATAATGAAAAGCTAATAATTTATGTTTTTTTTGGACTAAATGTAGTTATTTTTGTGGTTGTTGATACACATTACATTTCCGTTTAGGAAATGTTGTTGAATTAAATAAAGTTGGGTCTTCTGCCCCCGCTGGGGGCGTTACGCGTCGACGGCACGAGGGGGTGAGTTCGGAGGAGTAGAGGCTCCCTTGACAGTGGTGGCGCTAGACAGAGGGAAGACGCCCAGTTGAAAGGCTTACGAGCTAGGTCGACAAAGGGCTATGGCATTATTCATGTATCGAAGGACCGACTGTGCTAATTCGAAACAAAGTAATAGTAGCCTGTAGTAATAAATGCCTGTTTTATGATACAACAGGTGGTACTTAGTTGAGATACTAACGTGTTGTATGTGTTTTCCATTAGGTTTTGAATTAAGAGTATCTAACTATTACAGTTTATGTTAGGTTAGTGAAGAAACGTCTCGTACATGGTACCTATCTATCACATTTCGCCACCAACAAATCCAAACTGATTAGAAAAGATATGGATAGCACTTGACTATCCGTTGTTTGAAGTGTTATGCAAATTCCGACAGATAAAAGATGCATTTTACGGATACCTGCGTGAGATGTCCCATCAGATTTCTATAAGAAAAGAAGATGAATGTTCCCAAAGACTGTTGATCCCAAAAAAAACCGAATACTTACAACATTTCGTGCAACCTGCTCAACACCTTCTTCCCAATATAATAGAAATCTTCACACACAAGAAAAAAGCCACATCTAGGAATAATCTGGTAGCCATTACTACTCGCTTTAGAGAAGATCACAAACGTTAAAACAGTGATGAAAATAATAGGATTTGAGAGAAAATTTCCTTCTCAACTTTAGCATGGTGATTTCATTGACTTGGCCTTCACCACTTGGCTTCACCAAAAAATTCTGAATTCTACTTCAAGATATCTGAAAAACTAACATTTGTGTAGAAGATACATTGCCTACCAATTCGCAAGAAATTTGTAGAAATGGATCAGCGATATAAAAAGTAGCAAAAGTTGCTCCAATGAAATGTTGCCAGACTAGCAAATACCTCGACGAAAGAAATTGACGACGATTCTTTATTTGTCATCTAGGCTGTACCTATTGAATGTGAGGATATGACAAGAGATACAAGCAATTTGAAGCTCAATAGAGCAAAAAAAGAACAAATACAAAACAATAGTATTGGGTTCCTAGTAGAGAAAACATCCCTGACAAAGCTACCAGGAGGAATTATAGGGAGACGAATACCATTACTCTAAACTGGCCCCAAACTTTTCAACAAAGCATGAAGATGACTGACCACAAAACAGAATGTTGTGTAATAATTTATTAAAAGTATAAAGTAATTGACCCAGTACAAATTTTTTCTGATAGCTTAGACTAATCAGAACAACTGCTTTCCACAGTCGCCAATGAAAAAAAAATACTTGAGGATAAATGAAATGCTCATCAATTTCGATAGAAAGATGGAAAATATAATTATTTCTTTTGATTGTTTTTACATGAGATATGTTAAAAACAAGTGAAAACAACAAAAACAAGAAAAGTTGAAACATATTGGAATGGATACATAGTAAAACCTCTTGTATACTGTTTGTATTTGCCGCCACACAGGCGAGCATGCGCACACATACCTTCCAAGAGAAATTCGGGACGCCATGGTAGAACACGATGGAATGTGATTCGTAAGTGGAAAGTAAAGTAAAACCTGATGAACCTGTGTTGGAAGTATTATTCAACTCCCGGTCCACCAGACATAACAAAATCTATTTATATTTTGCATACTACATACATGATGGGACATTAGCCACGATTTTGAATATAATCGTTTAAAATATGAAACACTCATTGGATTTGGAATCCCTACATATGCCCCTACATATAAGGGTGATTTTTCGTGTTGTGATCTGAGTACGGGATGTACCTAAGTGTGAGTCATTTTTCTTTCTGGTATCGTATCTGTGTTACTCATTTTATTTTTGTCCAGCTTTCCTCTATTAGAGAAGGTATAAATCAGTAATTTATATAAATGAATAAATGTGAACATTATAAAATATTGTTATGTGTGAAGATGTTCCAATATGATTTTCTGTAGCCTAGGTTAAGTATCATTCTGATGAACTTTTTTTGTATTACAAAGACTAGATATTTCTGTGGACTTTCCCCATAACATGTATATAGCACCACCAGCACAGTGCATAATATAGATTAAACAAGTAAGGCCTATGTAAATTTGACTTGAGTGTGCAGAAAGCATAGAATAGTTTGTTTTAGAAAGCATCTATTTGGTTGTTAAATGGGAGTTTATAGTCAAGTTCCAGACCTAAGTGTCATGAAGATTCTGACTTGTTTATTTCTAAGCTATCGATTCATTGCAAAGTTGAGTGTTCACCTGAGAGGTTAGGTTAGGTTATGTCCCCAAAGTGAGTGGATCTATTGGAGGGTTTATTGTGGCTCACACCTATTCACACTCGATCAAATACACCCATCTATTACCGGAGCCGATTAGTTTGTATGGTGAGTGGTCTTTTAGGTCAGATGGTAAGAGTACAGCTCTGCCTAACTCTTAAAAACCTGATTCGGTCCCCAGCGGGACAGGCATAAAGTATGTGCTCTGCTGTTTCATCATTTTTCAAACAGAGGCGACAAACACTGTTTTCCGACAGTCCAAGTGTCTGCATATGATGATTCAAATGACAGTGACCTGTAAGAAGGCCTGTTATACATCGTAGTTTATCCCTACTGTAGTCCAACAACTGTTTGGTATCAAGATTCAAAGGGTAAATAAACGCCTTGGAGTGAGCCAATCCTGGAAGATTCTGCCAGAAGTCCATAAACCGTCTTGTCATACAGGTGTTCAATCTTTGTTTGGCAACGCCTAAAGCGATGCCAATCACAGGTTCTAGTCCAATGAAGCTGCTTGCAGCACCCTTCTTTGCAAGAGAGTCAGCAGCCTAATTGCCTTCCTGGCGGGTATGACCAGGAATCCAGACCAGAAACAATCTGTTAAGTCTTCCTATCGAGAGTCTGATTTTTGCAATTCTCTACCTGAGAGGACTAGTAAACTCAATGAACAATATTTTTCACTATTGTTTAGTAGATACTCCCTTCATACCAGTGCACCAGCGGTGAATTCAATAGCGGTATCAGCTACACGAGTAATTGCAGTATCATCTGCATAGATAAAAGTATGCCGCGAAGTGTGAACATTCACTTATTTTTTGAATAGTATACGAATAATGAATATACTTATATGAACTGAATTTCTCCTACCTTATTATAGGATATGGTATCAAATATTTCAGAAATTTGATCGGGTGTCAATACAGTTTGAACTATAGGATGTGAACTGAGCGTTGCATCTAGATTTAGGACAGTGTGAAGATCTCCGACGAGGAATTGATCCAACTGAAATGGAAGAATAAAATTAGTTTCATCAGAAATGAGTAAGTCACTAATTAGGTACTAAATAGGTGTCTATGGATATAAAAAAAGTGGTAACATTCATGATTTCAATAAAGGCACGGATTGAGAAGCACAATTTTTCTTAAGTGGTCGACGTTTCGGAAAACAATTGTTGTCCATTATCAAAAACCAAAATTCAATTTGAAACTATCACCTCAAATTGTAAATAGCTCCAATTCTTTTTGACATACGTTATTAGATTTCTTTTGAAGGAACTTTCAGTCCCAAGAGGGAATTTTTGGATTTACTCGAGCGCGACAAATGAACATAGGGTGGATACCTTGCATCCTGTTGCAAGTACGGCAGCCCGTCAGATTTATAAAAAAATCGCTCATCAGAAATATTCGAGTGCGTCAGACTGAGATATGGTGTTTCATTTTTGAGGTAAAAAAATGATCTACACATCCATGTATAGAGTTACTTATTTTAAAATTGATTACTTCCTTCCTTTCCTTGTAAGATTCCCTCATCCTTGTTTTTTGTATCAAGATGGAGTAGTAGAAAGCCAAAAAATTTCCCAAAAAAAGTAAAAAAATACATTTTGAAGAATCAGCACACTTGTGTCGTCTCCATTTGGATTCCAGAACATTGGCTGCGGATGCACATCATCGGTAGCAGGAGGTGGCAATTCTTAATGAGGATCTACAAGTGATTTCGAATTGGGGTGAAAGTAACTAGGTTCAATTCAATACCACAAAAACCCAGACATCGGTTTCCTCCAAGAATATAAATGTCTCCGAACCGGATATAATAATGGCAGGACAGACAATTTCGCTTTCTGTTTCGATAAGTTTGTTGGGGGTTAAAATGGACACCAATAAGTCTTTGGCACAATCGTGTCGTTGGAATTGCAAAGGCTGCTTCTTAAAAGCATGGAACAGTGTTCCGAACCAGAAAACTGTACACACCTCAGCAACTTTTGATGTTTTATAAAGCTCTGATCAGACCTTCTTTGGAGTATTGTTCTCATGTATAGAGCTCCGCCCCTGAGCATATCCTGAAGCTGCTGGATTCCATCCAGAAAATGCCATCCGCATGACTGGCGACGCGAATATCACTTGCAACCTTGATAGTCTGGAACATCGAAGAAAGGTTAGAGATTCGTCTCTCTTCTTTAGAAACTTTTTTGGGAAGTGTTCAGGAGACTTGGCACATTTAATTCCACCATCCTTTTGAGGTTCAACTCAATACGCACTTCGAATTTCACTGTTCAAGAACTCTTTCATTTGGAGAACTGCGTTTATATGGAATAAACTTTCTGAGAACGTATTTCCAAATGGATTCAATTTTTAGCGATTTAAATCCAATGTGAATGGTTACTTTGGCACAGGCACCGATCTCAGATCGCGTTGACTATTTTCCTGTAGTGCTTGTATTTCGCTCTTAAAAAAAAATGTCAACCTAATCAAAAGTTACAATTGGTGCTTTCGTGATTGAGCGGTTTGGTATATACAGGGCATCAAATATTGAGAATTTGTTGAGTTCGAATTTTTGGAATGTTTTACTTTACATGTTATTGCAAAACTTTCTGAATTCAATATTTAAGAAGTTGAGAAATACATTATTCTGCTAACTCATCTTCATTTCAATTATGTCGTAAGTAGAGTATCGAAAATTTCGAGAATATTGACTCCATACATTCTTCAGTTTTGATAAAAAACTCAGCAGTGGGGCTGGTTGTATCGATGATATTGTGTAGAAAACTTGGTCTGATCAAAACTTCTCATTGGCACAAGGGTCCCAATTGAATACAGGGCCTTCAAAAACAGCATTCGCCCCATTCACTGCAATCATCTCAACCATTTGATGATCCTTATGCCTTTTATGTTTCAATTGGACTCAATTGTAGATGATTGAGTATTAGTATCTGAAACTACCTAACACAACTGTTCGATAATATACAGGTTAGGACAGTCATTTCATCCAAAAGTTCTTGAATCACTGATGAGATCTATGGCGGGTCGAAACAGCGCTGTCTGGTGTTGAACCATAAAAACATTGTGTTTGGGCTCTAGTTCACTAGTTGCCTTGCAGTGAAAGACAAGACGAATCTCGTCGGTGTTTCAGGTCGAAGCTTGGCTTTACAATTGATTGCCTCTGGGAACCCTGTTTATCTTTTGATATTCGAGGATTGAGTTCTTTGTCGATCCCGTAGCTATCGTCTTCGTAAGGAGAGATGTCATTGCCCCTATTTATCTCCAATTATGTCCAATGAAAACACGAAAGATATAAGGATCATCAAATGGAGCTGCAAATGGGATGAATGCTGTTTTGTGAAGGCCCTGTGTCTGTGAATGGCTCAATTGGGATACCAGCTAAACAACTTCACCTTATTTTTATTCATTTCATCACTCGAGTAGGGAAAATTCTAATGGTTCTGTTTCCCACTGCGACTGTGAATGCACCAAACTCAAAAATAAACAAACGCATTTTAATATAGTTTTCACCAATTGATGGAGTAATTTGGGAGAACGGTTTATGTGTATAATCCAATAATGTTCTCCATAAATTTGTTAAAATACTCTGACCCGCCTCTGAAGCCTGAGAGACAGTGTCAATTTTAAGAAAGCAACCTATCAGGACTATCATGTTCTGTGTAAATTAGTTGAAAATGATGATGCAAACTGTGCGAAGCTTACCATTCCCCAAGTGGGTTCAGCAGCATTGACACCTTTGTATTCAATATAACTTGCAAATCCTTCATTCAGCCATAAGTCATTCCACCAGTCCATTGTTACTGAAAAAAGTACAAAACGTATGTTAATTACAAGTTAAATACAACATGATGTTGACAACACGTCATATTTAATCAAAACTAGTTTCTACAATGAAGAATATTATATTGCCTTACTTGTATTAGATACACCCTTTGAATTCCATTACATTTCTATATAAAACAGTAGGATTCACATTTGTCAATAATATGTTTTTTTTCTGATTTAAGGACGTGAATGTTCATTTCAATTTGTCCATGAGATACAGTAATAGATATTGTCACACTATGTTACAAATAATTCAAGTTTACATAAGAAAACTATCTTCTTTAACTGTATTTGTCTACTACAGTGATAGTCTGATCATCAATAAAATTCAAAACATCTTTATGCTTTTAAAAATAGTGGTGAAACCATGAGCACTCCCCACATCAACAAATTCCTCTATAACCATAAAAAATAAATGAGGATCTCCATCGTTTTTGGATTTTGTAGTTTAGTTGCTCGCTCCTAGTGACAGCTGCAGAGAAAATTGGCGAATGTTTGTTTCGCATTGGAAGGTCATTTGAATAGTTTGTTTATCTTTGATATTTATCGTATGGATGAAGCCTTTGTAAGACAAGTCGTCTTAACCCCTTCTTACTATTTATTGAATATCTGACGTTCTTTCAGAATCAAGACTGACTATAGTCATTGTCGACATAAAACTTTTTGATATTATATTTTCGACATTTGGGTTATTTTTTACAAAAATACCATTTTGAGAGTGTCTGACTTTGGTATTACTCATAAATCTTTGTCTGACAATAAAGTATATTTTGATTTGATTTGATTTGATTCTTATGGTAATTCGATAAACATAATTATTAATTGGAAATTCGGAAGAAAATTAATATGATAATCAAACTGTAACAGAAAATGAACCAAAAATATTCTTGCTTACCCAAATTTCCAAACCAGCTGTGGGCAAGTTCATGAGCTACGACAGTTGCAACTCGCTGCTTGTTGGCAGTAGAATGGGTTGTGTTGGTGTATAGGAGAGCTGTTTCCCTGTACGTGACGAGACCCCAGTGTTCCATCGCTCCAGAAACGAAATCCGGAATTGCTACCATATCTATATGAAAAATAAGTTGATTTTATACTTGTTTTGATTTTTGCGTTCCTAGGAATGAAAAAGTCTTATTTTACAGTCAGCAAAATTCATTATTGATATTCAAAGTTCAGTTATTCTTGAAATTTTATAGATTTCTATTTACCGGAATCGAAACAGATTTTTAAATAAAATTGAGTATGGAGGACATTTCTGAGCACTTTGTCCAGAAAGGTTAATGAATTCCAATAAAATTCAATAAAAAAATTTTACAAGAACATGTTTATTAGAAGCATCATAATACAAATCAGTCAACAGTGCTGATCCGTTTCCTCCTGTTCATTAAAGAGGACATACGCCTCCTACTCACAAGCAATTTTGTTGAAATTTGAAATTAGGAACACGTGTGAATCGATGTATTAATTTCACGTGTCTGCTGTGTAATGTCCGTTGTAAGTAGTCCCACTGTGATTTGAAAGTGCATATAGATTGTAACGACAATAAGCCACATTGTCTGCTGCATAATTGCTCATATCTAATTCTTCTGAAGAAAACCCAATGGCAACATTCAATTTGCCTCTGAATCTTTCCGTTGGAGATAATATTTTTAAATGAATTACTAAAATACGGGGAAATTTATGGATTGATAGGAACTTTGTGCATTTTTTTCTTTCCTTGCCCCTCGAACAGGTTGGTTTTTCATCTCCATCCAGGGTTTTCTCTTTTGTGAAGAAATCCAAGCATTGTGACAAACTCAATTGGCCAGTTCTTTGTGGTATAGAGACAAATCCCGGAAATGATCGAAAGTTACTGATGAAAATCCACAGTGTATGCACTTCATAGTGATTTTAATTGACCAAAGAAATTGTCTACAATCTTAGAGTTGTTAATGTTCAAGTATCTCAGCCAGGACTCTTGCGCTTTTCCGCTGTCGTTCAACTTTTCGTCAATCTCCGTTAAGATCGGTTTAGGTTTCTCAGTAATTTATTGAGGTCCTCAAATAAATGAATTCCTGGGTATCTTGAGGGAAAGATCCCATGAATCGAGGAGCAAATCTTTGAATGTGACTTCTAAAGTAGGCAGTGTTTATTACTCTATTAGATGAAACTTCTGACCACAATTCTTTGGTAACTTCTGCGAACGCTTTGATTAAAGCACCTTTCATACTAGAAATACTAGTATTGATATCTTCCATGTATGTATCCGTTTATAAATATTCCATCAACCATTTCGTGTTTTATAAACATTGGATTATACTGTTCATGAAACAGGTGTTTCCAATATTCTTCAATCCATTAAACCAAAGAGTTTTGACGGAAGATTTACTGAACTTGTCAGTAAGAGTTGTATACTTATATACTTTGAAACACAACATGAATTTTGAATACTTGTATACCTATACTATAGAGTAGCCCACGACTATTTAGCGAGAAAACAGCTGTCTTCTGGTGCTTATACTGGAAATATGCTCCAATACAAACAACGTTATTATGACGAGAGTATCAGAGGCTGTTACCTCGAATATATCTACCAAGATAGATAAGAAATTCATGGATGTGGAGGCGCACTATCCTGGATTTCATACTCGCATTGAAAATAATAAAAATGAGGTTGAGAAAATAGACTTAATAGACTTATGGTTTGGTTTCCTCGAACAACCGGCAAGACGAATAATATTCGTGTACATGTATAGTTTGATAATTATTCCCCTGGAAAGCGTATACTCTACTGTGGTAAAAATATGTTTCGAAAAACTGGTAATCAGGATTGCTACAAGTGATATATAGAGTGCTCTTGAAGTTTCTGTCAATATTATTCTCTTGGACCTGGTGTATTCATCAGGAAGAAGCTCACTTTTCGGCATGAGGCTCTACTCGCTACAGGAAATGAGTGCGGGCAAAAAACACTTGGTTCGTGGAAGATAAAATATATAATCTGCAAAGAAGATGAAAGAATCACCACGCCATCTGCTGAATGTTTGATTTCCTTGACGGATGAAATGTCTACATGATCTACCTGTGCATATTCTCATCTCATTTGTTTTTTATTTTCTGTTTCATCTCTTTGCTTGACTCTACTTTGGGATTAATCTTGATGAAACATCTTGTATATCCAGATACACTTTCCTGTATTCAATAATTTGTTACTGAATCAAGCGAATTTAACATTAGATCAAATCATAGCTGTAAAACTACTCTTCTGAAAGTTGTGGACGATTTGAACACAACTGCTGATAATGATAAACTTTGTTTAAATTGTATAAAGACGAAAAAGTAGAAAGCCAAAACCTTTCTTAAAAAAAAATAATTCTGATATTATTGAATTTTTCGAAGGCTTTTGACGGCATCAATCATCAGCTCTTTCTTGCTACTGTGAAATGCCTTGGCTTCTCTATAGATATTGTTCTACTACTTGAAAACTTGATCCAATAATTTTCCTGAAGAAAGGTTGGTTAAGTAACAGAATCAATTTTTTGCTAAACATTTTGTTTCTTGTTCGAATTTTATTAAATTCTTTTTCAGGGCTCGAAAAGTAGTTTTTTGATATTATTACTATTTCAAAAACCATCATACATATCAGTTGGTGTTGTCTGGGAAATTTGGTTGTTACAATGTTTTTTATTTTTATTTTAATATTATCAACACGAAGAAACTACTTTTCGAGCCCTGAAGAAGAATTTAATTGAATCCGAAACGCCGGCAAGAAAACAATTATTTTTTTAAAGAAAAAATCGTTCTTTAGTTGTCATTAACAGTGATAAATATAAGTCCTTAATGATGTCCTTTATTATTTGCCTTATATACTTCTCAATTCCATAAGGCACTGATATATTCAACCATATACTGTTATGCTGACGACACTCAGTTATAACTAGAGTTTGAAGATAATCTGTTGAACCATGCTCTGCAGCAAATCAGTGAAGATCTTGATACTCTAATATCTTTTTCAGGTTAATATTGCTTTACCGTTAACGCATTGAAATCGAACGTTATGCTTTTTGGTAGAATAGCAGCCAGAACTCGCTAGATTGATCAGATATGAACAATTATGCAGCAGACAGTGTGACTCCTTGTCGTTATAATCTATATGCACTTTCGAATCACAGTGGGTCTACCTACAGCGGACATTATACAGCATTCTGCAGACATGCCTATACTGGTACGTGGCACGAATACAGTTATTCACACGTGCCACCATTTTCACCAAAATCGCTTGAGAGTGGAGATGCATACATCCTCTTTTATGAAAATGAGGAAACGAGTTCCTAACTTTGAGCGTTTGGAAAAGTTAGTTTTGAACTGTTAATTTTAATGTCATAATGAATTATATTGACATATATGTTGAGTAACAATGAGGCACAATAAAAACTTTATGAAAATACCTAATACAAAGGAAGTTTTTGTCAACTTCCGATATTACTTAAAGTAATAACTAGCCCACATCACGAATTACCTTCTATAATATGGAATAATGCTAGAAAATGTACTGGGTGATCTATTTGAGGCAAAAAAATTATCAGCCGTCATTTTCATTCTATAAAATAGACTTGGAACCATTGACGGTCATCTCATATTATCTGAATATATTGTTCACTTACCCAACTTTGGCAAAGGATATGGAATCTTGAAATAATCGATGTAGAACTCGATGACTTTTTTCCCCACTTGCCCAGCATAGGTGGTTTTCGCCAAATTCTGAGGACTGGCGTAAACTTTCAGTGGTATCATTTTTCCGTTATTCTCGAAGGCTGTTTCTGTGTGGGTGAAGTCCGAAACGATAAAACAGGATAAATATGTAGACATGGATACAGTTTCATCAAAAGAGACCAGTTGGTGGTTGTCATCATAGTCCTCAGTTTTCTGAAAGATTAATATGAGAATGTGAAAGCTATGAATCTCACTGTTTTTGTATAAAGATGGAGAAGTAAAAAGCCAAAACCTTTCTTTCCCAAAAATTGATCTCTCCTAAAAATATACCACTTTCAATCTATGTATACACATTCTCAGACACAAGGAATATATTTCTCGTGTGGATTATTTGACAGGAATCAGAATTTAACGATTTCAGATAAAGTAAAATACTTCTGAAGGATTTTCATAAACTACATCTCACGATTTGATCTCCACAACCTTTGTGGAGATCAAAGGTTGTGGAGATCAAATCGTGAGGTATAATTTATGAAATTCCTATGGATCTTCATTAAGTAACGGGTGAATTAATAAAAAAAAATTCTGAAGTATTGTCTGAGTGTTATCAGTTTTTTATACAATAATATAATTTGATTCACTCAAATTTTTTCTCCAATTCGTGTGTCTCTAAATCAGAAAGTTTATAAAATATAATCAATACACCAGAGGATACACAAAGTGTCCCAAATAAGGAGGGACAGTGGGTTGAATAAAAAAAATTGTTCATCAGTAGACAGTGATGAGAGAAGTTCTAAATGAACAGCTCTATAAATGGCACATGTATATAGGCATATCCAAGCCTTTTCTCCAGTTCGAATGTAGAGTGGACCGGCTCAATCTACACCGATGACTTCAAAAACTTTGGCTTCTCGCACACAATTTTCTGGAAGTGCTATGACTGGAACCTCGATACATCTGGAGTTGAATCTGCGACATTTCGCACACTTTGAAATGACAGATTTCACTGATTTTCTCCCTCTGATTATCCAAAATCTGTCGCGCAGAAGCCTCAATAATCCCTGAACTCCGACACGCAATGATTTCAAGTGAGTTTCGTAGATTAGCTTACTCACAATAGGATGCTTAGAAGGCAGAATGATAGGAAAACGGAAATCAGGAAAATCATTTTTTTCTGAAACCTTGGTTTTAATCCTCAAAATACCATCATCATCACTGAAGGAACAGAAACTCTTCAACTGAGACTCGTCAAGTCTATTGAAAGCTTCATATTGCACAAATCTCATTGTACATTTTTCAGCAGACTGCACTTCTTCCAAAGACAATTTCTCACCAGAATTCTTTTGATTTTTGGAACGGCAATTGACAATAAATCTTCGAATCCAACCAAGTACTCGGATGAGTTATTTTGACAACTCTTGTTGAAGAGAATTCAATGTGTACAAAAAAAGTGTAACAAATTCAGTAAATGAACTATTTGCGACATCCCCAAAACATATTCCAAATTATGGTTTACAAAGGTGACATTTGTCGTCCAGTTATCTTAGTCAAAATTAGATAACATTCTCGGAGTTTGAGATACCCAGCCATAAACTTGTATTTTGACATCCTAAAAGTAGTCTCAAAATCTACATATGATAAGGTGTAGGTACGCGACTATTAAAATCCAAGGTCAAAGGCCACAAAAATCGATTTTGTTCACATCTCGTTCACTATGGGATTTTCGGTAAAGGTATTTGAATTTATTATTAATATTGTGAAGATTCAATTCCCCACAACTTTTGTTTATTTTTTTATATGTTGAATCATTTTCGTGATAGAGGGCGGAGAGCGTGTTCAACAACCGGTAGTCCCGGTCAAAAATACGCCATATAATATTCATTAACTTTTGATAAATATATAAATATTGATAATTTTCATTTATGCGCTCTTTAAAAACGTTTTTGAAAAGCATTTAAGAAACTACCGAATTTGGATAAACTTGCAGCAGTATTTGAAGAAGAAATCTGTCTGGTTTATTGATTTGAGAATATAATTCAATTCTTGTTAGTAGTCAATAATGCTCCAAAATCTGTGAACAGTATCGATTATCTTCAATATGTACAATACGCAGTTATCAAATATTTCACCAACAAGTGAAGTAACTCAACAACATTTCAATCGTGATAATTATCAAGTTTAAACTTGGATAGGGCATGATTTGGAACCCCAGGAATAGGGTTGGACAATGCGTAGCGAATTCCTGGAACCTATTACGACAATTTTAGCACCTGCTCCAAAGGAATCGCTCAAAACAATATTCTGCAACTGCAAGAGTGGTTGTGAATAGCGATGGGAATGCAGGATATCGGGGTTGTAGTGCTTTTAAGCTCGTGACCAGTGTAATGGACAATCTTGTCTCACTGCTTTACCATATCAGAGATATGTCAATGGAAATACAACCTTTGACCCCGAAATCATGAAGAGCTGGAGACAAATCTCCTTGAAAACGATGAAGAAGAGGACTTTTAAATACTACAGCTGTTAGAAGACGACGATGAAGAAGATAATTAACCTGTAAGTTGTAGTTCTTGTAATTTTTATTATTTTTTTTAATATTCACAATCATACATGTATGGAATATTTTTCAATAAAAACATTAATTGGGATTCCCTTTCTTTCTTTTTTTATTCAAGAAGGTTTCAATATAAATTGCACTAGAATTGAAATATAATTAAGTATTTCCTTAACAAGTCTATAACTATACGGGCAGGAAAGTGATATGATACTTGATGAAAAATACATACGTAAGTAAAATAATTATTAAATATAATATAAATAGTCGATAAAAATCAAATTTATTAATAATTATGTATTTATCGATAATCAGGGACTACCGGTTGACCTTGAATGATGCTTTAATTGCGCTCTCCACCCTCTATCTCAAAAATGTTTCCACGTATAGAAAAATTTTTGAAACAAAAGTTGTAGGCAATTGAATCCTCTACAATATTGATGATGGATACGAACAGCGAAAATTCCACAGGAAACGAAATATTTGCAAAAAATATGCATAAAATCAATTTTTGTGATCTTTGACCGTAGATATTAAAAGTCGCGTACACCCTACCATATGTAGGTTTTGAGAAAACTGAGTAACTATTGGACTAATCTTGTGGGAAACAAGTCTTACTTAAATAACACAAGCTTTCTTTAAGCGTATTCATGAGTTTGAAGGTAATATGTTTTCCACAACCATACAAATGCTATTGATATACAATATGATGATTGTTTCAAAAGGATATAATTCAAATGAAGATCTAATATCTGCCTGTAATTAGTTTTCATACTTACACTGACTGGATAGTTGGAGAGAGCAATGTAAGAGCTGTCCTTGGGTTTGAGTAGATGCACCTTATACTTTGCTTTCAAGTTAGGCTCGTCAAAACATGGGTAGGCTTGTCTGGCATATGTTGGTTCGAACTTGCTTGTGGCAATTTGTCTGAAAGAAATAAAATCAAGATTTATGAACAGAATTTTTCAACTTCCTCTATCGAATCCGGTTCACATATTACATAATTAATTTATGAATAGCAAACATATTGTCATTTTTCGGTAACTTCCATATATATAGAAAAAAAAAGATTATTATTACTTAGTTAACCAGTTTATTAATCCATTAATTTTTCTGAAAAGAGGTTGGTTGGGTAACATGATCAATTTTTTCTTAAAAAAAATATTTTCTTGCCGAATGTAAATGAATTCTTCATCAGGACTCTGTAACAATGAATTTTCATAAACATACCTTCCACAACACTTATACGATTATTATCGTTTCAATTTCTTAAAAAATAATGAGTTCTTAATTAAATTACTCACCGAAAAGTAGTTTTTTCGTGCTAACAATATTACTATTTTAAAAACCATCAGACATATTAGATACATATTTAAAAAAAAAATTAAAAACATTGCAACAACCAAATTTCGGAGACAACACTAACACAAAACGACATGAAACAAACGACTGGCTTTATCTGTGATTCTGATAAGGTGGTGTCTGTTTTTTAATCAATGGCGGAAAGAGAAAGAATGAAAGAAGGGTAAATTAATAAGTTATTTTACTTATCAAATAGAAATGCAGTATTAAGACCATCGACATTTCATCATTTTGCTCAAAAGTCTTTTGGACAAATATGGTTGGAAATTTAGAATAGTTGGATGATCAACGGCAGCTGTTGGTTTTTCAGTCTCTCATGTGTTCTGAAACTTGTGTTAAAAGATACCGTCCAGTTTGACCAACATAGCATTTGTGGCAGCTTCCACAGTTCAATTTGTACACTATATTGGATTGTATTTCTTGTGGTGATTTTGTTTTTTGTTTCGACAAAAAATGCTTTGCAACTATTTTTTCATTTGAAAAGGCCACTTTAATTTGTTCGGTACTGTGTAGCATTTCAAGTTTATCAGATAAATTTTCTACGAATGGAATTTTGCGATATTTGGGTTTCACCCCTGTATTTTGAGAGGAGAAACTTCTTTCTTCAATTATTTCTCTATAAGGGCTATAGGAAAATTATTTTTTACTAGGTAATTCTCAATTGATTGGAGATTTTTGTTATGGAATTCAGAATTGGAAATAGCAATTGCTCTTGATTTCAAATTCCTTATAATGTTGATTTTATTCTGAAAATTATGTTTTGAAAAACAATTTAAAAATCTCTCAGAAAAAGTTGGTTCACGATACCAATCTACCTTTAAAATTCGGTTTGCATCTTTGATTATTTTAGTATCTAAAAATGCTAACAAACTGTTTTCTTCCATTTCTAGAGTAAACTTCAGTTTTGGATGAAAACCATGAAATTTCAGACCCTTTTCATAGTGGAAGAGATGTTTATGAAGGCGGATTGACTGTCCTTGTTCATCTTTCACTGCCTAAACCACTGTGCATGCTGTTTTTGGTGAGTGCATTGGCTTGGGATGTGGGGATTGAGAAAACCGGCCATCGGATGCCTGTTTCCACGTAGCCACGTAGCTGGATACGGGAATGACAGAATCACTTGTGGTTCTGTTATTCCCTAACTGAATGGCATCCCAACGATGGCTTTATCCTAAAGTGTGTGTATCCGTGCTGAGAGGATGAATGACACTGAGCCTATCAGCTGTCTCTACGGAACCTTCGAGATACCGGTCGCCCTTTCATCGTAGCATCGTAGCATCGCCTTTCTTCAGAAATTTCATTATTGCTCGATACTTTCGGAATATATTTTAAGTCAAACCGGTCAGCAGAACTGATTCTGCTCAACAACAACGCCCGTCCGCACGATTTACAAATTACCATCCAAAAATTAAACGAATTGAGCGTCGAAGTTCTGCATCACCCACTATACTCACAAATTTCTCGCCAACGGACTACCATCTTTTCAAGCACTACGATAACTTTCTCACCGGTAGAGCCTTCGCCAATCAGGATTAGGCAAAAACGGCCTTCGTCGACTTTATCGATTCCCGAACACACAATTTTTATGCTGACGGAATTATTCGACTTGTGTTACGTTGGCAAAAGGACACTGATTCAAATGATTCGATTAACTTGAATGAGTATTCACTGAGATATTACAATTTGAAGTAGACCCCTAAAAACGGACAAAGTTTTTGAAACAACCTAATATCTTCCATATGTCATTTGTAATAGACGTACAGGGTGACCACATGCGGTAGATTTCTACTTTTTCGGTAGATTTTCAACACGAATTGAAAAATTGCAGTAGATGAATTGTGGCTGCAAATGACATGAATTCATTATTTCTAGGTTTTGCCAGCTTCGATAAACAGAACACAAAATGGATACATATCGTAAAACATCCATTTCCCGATTGCTTATTGTTGTTTTCTGAATATCTCCGACCTCCGAATAGAGAAAGAAGAAGATAATAATACATAACAACAATTCACTTTTTGTTTTCAAACTGTCAAAAGATTCAAAGTTTCTTTTCAAACATGGAAACATTTCTGTTTTTGAATCTTGAAATCTAATACTTGAAATAGTTTAAGAGTTCAAAATAATCAACAACAAAGAACCAACTTGAAAGCAAATTGCTATTTCAAGTACTAGACCACGCCCATTGGCCATACCCGTAAGAAGGCCAAGGTCTTCTAGATTAAGTCATGCTATTCAAATGTCTTCACACGCGCCACCTAGTGGTCGAAAACTCAACTTTTCACCATGTTGGTGCTCTTCAAATATATTGCAGTAGATTTCAGGAGATTTTCATTGACACTGTAGGTAGATTTCTCAAATGAAATGTGACAAGAGTTTCAGATAAATAACGCCTTTTTGGAGATTTCGTAACCTGAAATGCAAGATTAATGTCAAAAATGTGAACGAGATAATAATACTTGACGACTGTTTTACTAACACGGATAAGAAATATCCAATTTCAAAGATCACATTGTAAAATACGTCGCAATCTAATTCCTTGTATGGAAATTCCATTTAACGTAGCAATGAGATTAGTTAATGCCAATCTCGTTAACCTTGTGAGTTTTACCGTATGATAAATGCTGATAATTGCATAAGTTTAGTTCTGCAAAACGACCTTCTGATTATTTTTGGATAAATCAAGTGGAACGGAAATACCTTTACGAATTGATTACAGATTTGTTCGACTTCTTTGAGAAAAGTGTGTCATCCGTTGGAGTAGGTAAATATCTATTATCTCGTTAATCGGAGTTCATTCTTCTCTGTATGGTTCACGAGTCTAGTTTCATGAAAAAAAAAAACAGTTGACATAGAAAGTGGAACAAAGAAATCACACCATTGTTTGATTTGGTATAAATATATCCATTGAAAACAATAATCTCCGACTTTTGAAAATGGTTGGATAAACATCAGAAATACGAACCGCAGACACGAGTTTCTGGCCCATTAGCTGTCATCAATACGGTATAGCCAAGTGGTGAATTTAGTAAAATCTCTAACCCGAGATGACCTAACCGAAACCACAAAGTGCGGCTGGGTTCTGCTGATGACCGTACATTTGTACTGTTCCTTGCAACCAAGTGTTACCTTATAGACCAGGGTCGATAATTTTTGAAAGCATAAAATAACAGTAGGATGAAACCAATAGAAAAGGAGGGGAATATGATATAAATGAAGGGAAAAATAAATTACGGGTCACCTAAGTTCGGAAAGTGAGAGAGGGTGAGTTTTTAAGGGTAAAAAATGGTTTATCTGGATTTCCGGCAAAACTACAAGTCCTACGGAAAAAAGTTGAAGAGCAAAGTTGTAGGTAGATCCACAACTATTGTATTCACAATTTTTTCACATAACCTCAAGATTCATGTGAAAAATTCAAATAACCAAGTTTTTGGTTTTTTATTTTTATCTATTTCAAAAAAAAAATTTCTACGACATTTGGTGAAAACTTATTTTTTTATGACCCGAATACACTGTTCAGTGTATGTTTTCATTTTTACATTTATAAATACATTTGAGTTATTGTAATCCATTTTTTTATATCTTCTTTACTTGCATATCTAATATATAAAAATGGATGTTTGTTGGTTGGTTGGTTGGTAAGTGATAAACTTCTACATCGCTCAACCGATCATGATGAAACTTGACATGTATAAGTAATTTTTCATAGAGAAGGTTTTTAGGCTATACATTTTTCTGTAACTCGCCACGAGATGGCGCTGTAGAACAATTTTTTGAAAGCACTGTTCTTTAACGCTGCGCACGCCTAAGTTCGTTGATTCTGATTCTGTCAAAACATTGAAACAGCAGCGATATAGCAACATAGTACTAATAATTAGTACTACAACTACCAAATTCTACACGGGCGAAGCCGTGGGCAACATCCAGTTTCTAATAAAAACATTGGCCAAATTTGACAAATTTTTAGCATGTAATAATGAATTAACGATACTTTTTTTCCTTTTCCGGCAAATCCAGAAAAACCGAAAAAACAATGCAGAAATGCAACAATATTTTTGAAAGATTCGTGTTTCAAACTATTAGACGTGAAAAATAGATCCCTTACATTTCCAGAACCTGGTTTGAGAAAATAAATGTCATGATTATTTGAATTCAATTTAACAGGACCAAAAGATTAATATCTTGATCCATAACAATGAAATGAGTGTATCTGGCAATTTCTGTCGAGGTCTTTATTATGTCTTATACTTGTTTACAAGAAAACGCTTGTGACTGTTATCTTTTCATTGAAGTTTTTATTATTTTGTCCTTGTTTTTCTCGTTAGATAAACATTTTTCTCTTTCCCCACTTCTCTATGAGATACCTTTCAATGGGCTAAAGTTTTCCGTAGGTCACTCAGGTATATAAATTATTTTAAAACAGCAATAAATAGGCATCTACAAATATTATTTGAAGAAGATTGTACAACCATCTCAAAATATTGTAGATGTCTTATTAAATATTAACTTTATTAACTTATTTCTTTGTTAATTATAGTAGTATATTGGGATTTGCAATTTTTTCT